AAGGGATAAAATATCTACGAGAATATTAGATGAACTAGAGCGCATCAACGAAGATAATGATGCATCGCTCAAACAACAACGTTTATCTGTTTTCGTATAATTTAATTTTGAAAAAGAACATTCACATAAATACGTAGAGTCGAACATAGAAAAAATTCGAAGACCAAATTTTATAAGTTCGGAATACTTTGATGAATCTAAAATCTTAAAGAATTCAACACCTTTTTCTAGAGGATTCTCAAAAAGAATTAGATCTTTTCTAAGTAATTCGTATCAAACTGGGTTATTAAAGAATTAATTAAATGAAGTTGTTTTTTAAAATTACAATCTTTGCCGTATTCTTCAAAAAGAATTTGGTAAGATGAATAAAAGTGAAAACTATCTTTTTCTAAATGATTTTAGAATAATAGTAATTTTCTACGGAATGAGTCGATATGACAAACCAAGTCTGATATCGTTTGGTTGGCCTTTTGCAGCAAATTTAAATTATTTAAATGGGAAGTTAAATCTGTAATAACAGCTAACTCAGAAAGAAAATCTAGGTCTTCGAAAAAAGATTTAAATTCGTCATTATTTACAGACATTTCTTTTTTTATTGCAAAGAATTTCTCTAGACATTTCCCTGTGCTAAGCCATCGAACTTCGGAATGTACAGGTATATCTGTATAAATTGCATTATGATCTTCGAGAAAAGATTGGAACTTTCTGTGATTCAGAAATTTGCGTCCGCCTTTTATTGCATTAATAATTCCATGTTTTATTCTCTTTTAAGCTTTCTATTTCTTTGTCCATAGCTTTTATCCAATTTTCACAATCATTACTGTTCAGCGCCTCCTCAAATGTATATGGAGTATCTACCCTACAATAATTTGCAAAAATATTACTAGTGCTGTTCTCTGGGTATCTTATTGGATTTTTTCTATCGCGTGTAGATTTTCGTGGAATCTTTGACTCTAAATTTTCAGTAGCTTCCCTTTTTGTTTTTATTTTTTTTTCTTCGGTTTTGCTTTCACTTTCGAACACATTGTCGCTTAAATTTTCATCTAGACTAGCGTTGCTTTCAATATCATCATCATTATAATCAACACCAATACATTTTACGTCTCTTTCTACAATATCAACGTGTCTCGCAACTATTATTTTATTATTTAATACAAGTCTTACGTTTCATAAATTCTGATTCAAGTTCATTTGGAATGCCCGTTAATAACTGTTGTTTACTTAAACAATTGAGATAGCCAAAATTTACATGTCCTAACATTCTATGCCATTTCTCTTTCGAACTCGTGTTATTATTATTTTTACTGTCGGCAGTATTTACTAACTTTTCTCCGTATGTCAAAGTACTTGTTATCTTATACGTTCGATCTTTTTTGTATGCTACAGCTATTAATTTATTATTCTCATCTATTATTTTCGCTATATTTCCCTTTGAAATAATCGTATTTTTATCTGTTAATTTTCCAAAACTTATTAAATTTGTATTCATTTTTCCGGCATAAAAAACATTACTCGTCTTCTCCATCAAACACCGGTCTCGTGATTTCCTTTCTCTTCATCTTGGTTGTTCTCGAACGTTCCTTCGTGTTCGAACTCTTCTTCTGTATAACACTTTTGCTTTAGTTAAACCGATGCTTGATCACTCACACAAGCCAGGAAACCACGTTCTGCTACCATGAAAGGATTGTGGATCCGGTAATACTCGGAGTGAGAAACAAAAGTCTATTTAATAATTATTCTAGTTATACATTAATAAATGCTCCATTCTCTACGCGGGTCTTAACAGCAGTGTCTCGTGAGTTACTGTCTAGATTCGCTCTCTCCCATCACGTACCAGCACACACACAGGGAAGGGGACGTGTACATGTATGCCACTCCTACTAAAGCGCGCTCACATATTATACATTATCGTGTACAATATTCTTGACCTTTAATTACATACGTATTTACTTTGGATATCGTACAATATAGATGTACATATATTCTAACAAATATATCTGTTATTTAGTGGCACGATTATATATCATAAATATAACATTTAAAATATAGTGATACATATCTCTGATATACCAGAGAAGTGCTTTTATTGCTGACATTCAGCAGTGCATGTAATATACATATATGTTACTTATTATGTAACTGATTACTTCATGACATATTATAAATCTGAGACACACACATGCACACACACATATACACACGCGCACGCACACGCACACGCACACTTATACATATACACACAGATATATACAGGATGACACGCATCGACCGCCCACTAAGTACATAGCGTTATTCCTTACCAAAAACTGAGTCGAGAAGAGTCCTAACCATTTTTTTATAACGCTTAATAAAGGAGTTATGAGTAAAGTCTGACCAATCAGCGCCGACCTTTAACCGGGCACAGTGAGTCGTGCGTCTGATAGTGTGCATGACCGCTCCACCACTAACATAGAATATTTTTACGCATCATAATAATAGAAATAATTTTTTTTGCAGTATTTCTATAGGATGGACAAAATAAAGCGTGACGAATTTTTATCTCCAAAAATATTGTTTCTGGAGAAAAATGTTTCAAATAAATGTTGCAGTATTTCAAGGAGACATAAGTTGATGATATAGGAATGTTTGTAGGTGACGGTTTTCAAGGTTATTTCAAAATCAACTTTATTTTTTATTAATGGAAACCCTTACTTTTTATTGCATATTTTTATAGTCCTTGAGACCTTTTTAAAACATTATAATAAAGTATTTTTTGATTAAGTATTTTTTCAGTTATCTTATATATTACATGAATGATTTTTAATACAAAAACAAATTATTTCTATTACGATGCGTAAAAATATTGCATGTTAGCGGCATGCGCGAAGGAAAATCGCCGCCGCGCCACCGTAGCGGCAGAACGCTCACGCATACTACCAGGCGCGGCTCACCGACGTGCGCCTAGCTAAAGGTCGGCGTTGATTGGCCAGACTTTACTCAATAATAACTCCTTTATTAAGTGTTATAGAAAAAAAGTTACAGGACTTTTCTGTTCAGTTTACTGTACTCTACTCGCTCACGAGCGTTGGCACAATCTTTACCGGACACTCTGTATATATATATGTTCAGGGTGTCCCATTTTAACTTTTACACCATAATTTCGAAACCCATGCATTTTCAAAAAAATGTTTCAGGCAAAAGTTATTTGACTCGAAGGAGGACATAAGAAGATGCCATTGGTTTGACCGTGGATAGTCGTTTGAAGGTCACGTGAAGGAAAAGCTCTCGAGCTAAGTTACAAGAATATGTAATGGAAAATGGGGATTCCCATTTAAGAAATTAAAGGTGACCTTCATGTGACCTTCAAACGATTATCTAAGGTCAAACTAATAGCACCTTCTATGTCCCCCTTAAAGTCAAATAACTTTTATCTGAAACATGTTTTTTGAAAATGCATGGTTTTCGAGATTTTACGGTGTAAAAGTTAAAATTAGACACTGTTTATAATATATATGTGTACATATATATAAGGTGCACATATATTTATATATATATTTTGTGACCGTGTATTTTTGGGGGATTATTTTATCGTTTTCCAACGGGTCGGTGATGGTGACCCACGGCACACCTTCGGCGCGATATACGAAAGATCGACCTTATAAGAGACCAGATTTCGATATTAAGGTGTTGGGCGCCAGGCGCAAGAATTCGCGCCACACAAAGCTCGCGAAAAACCAATGAATGTTCGTTCGATAAATAATCGCGATGGCAGAATCCGTGACCGCTCAGTTACGAGATTGGTAGAGGGGGTGGTTCGTACGAACGGGACGGGACAGAGTCGAAATAGACAATCGAAAATTTAGAATACGCAAAGATATAACAAAATGATAGTATATTAAGAAGTTTAAATAAAAGGAAGATAAGATATAATTCTGAAAAATCGGCCTGTTCGTCGGCCTCAAAGTGTTAACGTGATCAAGCGCTAGGGTATTGTGTTTCACGGCACGCGCGAATAAAGATCGATTATACGATGGACAACAGTCTCCTGACGCGCGGGGCTTGTTCGGGCCTCGGTAGCGAAGAAAAATCCCTCAGATCTCGATGTACACCCTGCGCTCGCTCATGTAAAATCTTAAAAATGATGTACAAAGAAATATAAAGGCGCTCGTATAGCAGCCGTTACCACCTTCACATCTAAGTTTGCCTGGAGATAGTTACTAACACAATGCGGCTACGAGCTGATTAATTTGTACTATCTATTACTTTTTATATTGCACAAATTTAATATTTTTGGCACACTACCATACATCATTATCACGGTACATATATATTTTTGTATCATCTTTACAGATTACACTAACCAAATTTTACTGATTGAAAAAAAATTTCACACATCCAAGAAAAAAAAATTTCGAACATAAAAAAAAATTTCAAACATCCAAAAATGAATAGAATGCACACATAAATATTGTTATGTCCGCGGATCGATATTGATTAATCTCGAAGCGCGCACGACACAACCGGCACTCGCGTATCACGATGAAAATAAAGAACACTCTTCATAAAAGAACAAAAGGAACTTTAATAATGATAATGCAGAACTCAACTAAACATAGAACACAGAATAGATAATATTGGAAATCGTAATAACAAATATGTCCGCACGTAATGACATCCGTCACGAGACTAAGGTGGCGGCTCTTCTCTCAAGATATCTGATGTTGTTTAACAACAAACACATCCGTTGTCCCGGAGATCATCTTCATTTTCCACCGCATCGAGCGACATAACATCGTGGCACAGAAATGTAATACAGGGTCGTAACAATACATGGTCAAACAATTAAGTTACGAGACTCATTTCGCATTTCTAAACGTTTGTTTCGTTTGTGCTGCCATCTTAGGAGGTTATTCACAACTTAATACTCAATATGTGGTGCAAGTTTTAAATTATTTTATTTAATAATTAATGAGATATAGTCACGCGAAGTTGTGTTAAAATTTTTTTTTAATATCGGTATAATGGAAGGAACGCTTGAACAACGCGCCAACATTAAATTCTGTGTTAAATTAGAGAAGTCACCAACAAAAACATTACAAATGATTCAACAAGCCTACGGGGATTCAGCTATGCATAAGAGTAATGTTATGAAGTGGTACAAACGATTTCGAGAAGGCAGAGAGAAGATAACGGATGACAAACGATGTGGCGCGCCGGTTATCAAGGCAACGAACAAACATCGAGAGAAGTTAGCGATTTTAGTGCGGTCTAATCGACGGCTAACACTTGCTATGTTGGCTAAAGAACTTAATATTAACAGGGAAACCATTCGTCAACTTTTGCACGATGAATTGAAAATTCGGTCCACGCATGCTCACTTTGGAGCAAAAACAAAGACGTTTGAACTTGTGTCAGGATTATCTCGAACGCCTCGAAAAGAATAATTTTTTAGAACTTGTTATTACGGAGACGAAAGTTGGTGCTTTCAGTACGATCCTGAAACAAAGCGTCAATCAATGGAATGGCGATCACCACATTCGCCCAAACCGAAAAAAGTGCGCATGAGCAAATCGAAAGTTAAAACAATGCTCATAACATTTTTCGATATCCGAGGGCTTGTTCATTATGAATTTGTACCACAAGATCGTACTGTGAACCAGATATTTTATTTAGGAGTACTGAAAAGACTGGACGTAGCTGTGAAACGAAAACAACCCAACTTGTGGAAAGAGCGGTCATGGATTTTTCATCACGATAATGCACCGGCGCATTCTGCTCTCTAAATTTCTCAATTTTTGGCTAAAAAACAAATCGCAGTGATGGATCACCCTCCGTATTCGCCGGATCTGGCTCCCAACGACATTTGGATGTTCCCAAAATTGAAGAAACAGTTAAAAGGACATCGTTTCGAGGATATAGATGACATAAAAAGAAACGTGAAACAAATTTTGAAAGGGTTCACTTTACAGAATTATCAGAGCTGCTTTAAGCAATGGCGAAGACGTTGGACTAAGTGCGTCGAATTAGAGGGTGACTATATTGATACTTTTTAACTGTCTAAGGTTTGTACGATTAAAAATACATTTTTTATATGAAACTTAATTGTTCGACAATGTATATTAGTTATTATTTTGTTTTTAAATAAAGACAGTGCATTCATAAGAAATATAATTAATGTATATAAAAAAGTTATCAATAAAACTGTTGTAAAATAATACAGTTTTCTTACCTTAAATAAAGAACTAAATATTATTGGTTCAAATTTTAAATTGCAATTTTAAAAGAAACAATTCATAGTACAAAATACAAAGCACAATATAAATAATTATAAAAATAAGAAGAGAATAATATATTAGGTGTACAACTTTGCTTCCGCCGTTTTTTTTCCAAAATTCGAAGCTTTATTGTAAAAAACTGGTTATACATTTATGATTCAAAGTATTGTCCATCGCTGGCCACTACTTTCTCCCATCTTTCGGGCAGCGTACGAATCCCGCGTTGAAAAAACTGGTCATCTTTGGAAGCGATCCACGAATCGATCCAATTTCTTACTTCTTCATAAGACCAGAAGTGCTGGTCAACCAGGCCGTATGCCATTGATCGAAACAAGTGATAGTCAGAGAGAGCAACGTCTGGAGAATACGGCGGGTAGGGTAGGACTTCCCATTTCAACGTTTCCAAGTATGTCTTGACCACTTTCGCAACATGGGGTCGAGCTTGTCATGCTGCAAAATCACTTTATCGTGCCTCTCGTTGTATTGCGGCCGTTTGTCTTTTAATGCTCGGCTCAAACGCATTAATTGCGTTCGATAACGATCGCCTGTGATTGTTTCAGTCGGTTTTAACAGCTCATAATACACTACGCCGAGCTGGTCCCACCAAATACAGAGCATGACCATGGAGCCGTGAATATTCGGTTTGGCCGTCGACGTGGAAGCATGCCCGGGATATCCCCATGATTTTCTGCGCTTGGGATTATCGTAATGAACCCATTTTTCGTCCCCAGTCACAATGCGATGCAGAAACCCCTTCCGTCTTTGCCTTTCAAGCAACTGTTCACAAGCAAACAAACGCCGTTCAACATCTCTCGGTTTCAACTCGTACGGCACCCAATTTCCTTGCTTCTGAATCTCTCAGTTTCAACTCGTACGGCACCCAATTTCCTTGCTTCTGAATCATTCCCATGTTTTTGAGGTGTTTTGAAATTGCCTGTTGAGTCACTCCCAATGATCGTGCCAATTCTTCTTGACTTTGACTCGAGTCTTCATTAAGTAATGCCTCCAATTCTGCATCTTCGAAAACCTTCTCTCTTCCACCGCTATGCCGGTCTTCGACGTGAAAATCACCGTTCTTGAAGCGTTGAAACCACTCACGACACGTTTTTTCTCTAATAGCGGCCTCACCATAAGTATTTGAGAGCATTCGATGAGCCTCAACCGCAGATTTCTCCATATTGAAGCAGAAAATTAAAACCTCCCGCAAATGACGAGAATTTGACTCGTAAACTGACATTTTCAATCGAGAATAACTTTATGATGCAGACACAAATCGACTAATGTTTCTATGGGGTTATGTTGGCAGATGCCCAAGTTTATTGCATGACGTCTATGATCTATTTATTTCGACCACTACTTACCGCTAAAGCCATCTATAGGAAAACGGCGGAAGCAAAGTTGTACACCTAATAATATATAAAAGATTGCCAAAGAACTGTTCTCTCAACCGCTACTTCAAATAAAGTTATTTTACGATTTGCTTTTGTTGTAATTTTCAACAGTTGTCGATCGACAATGCTGGCAATAATACGAAAACCGTCCGCGCTTGTTGTTTTGTGTGTCTTACTACGCATTCGCCGCTATCATATTTAATATTTATTACAACTTAATCCTGAACGGCGAGAAAAGAGAAACTGTTTAAAAATATTAAGCACTCCAGCGACCTGGAGATTTTCTCTTTCAGCTGGAGATCTGGAGATTATCTCCTTTGCCTGGAGACTCCAGGCCAAAACTGGAGAGGTGACATCCCTGGTTACTCGCGACAGCAGTTCGTAGTTGCGGGATATGACCTTAACATCGTTGTTCGGATTTGACTCTTCTCTAACTTCCGATTTTATAATTATTTTACGGCGACAGCTAATAACAAGCGCTGCGCAAAAGAGAGAGAATCGTAATTACGCGACTAACGTGACGCACTTATCTGAGAATACTACAATTCCACGCAATACCATAGCTCCGCAATGTTGACACGCTCTCAAAATACTATGCGAAATACAGATTACATAAAATATATCGAAAATACGACATACGCGGCACGCGAGATTTTCACAACGCACGAGATATATTCGAAACTTTATTATACGGGCACATACAATAGTGACATGGTATAGCATTTTTACGTAATTGCTTCCGTTTAGAACTGAAATGAACCTGAAACATTAAAAAATATTATAAGACTGAGAAATAGGACAAATATAGATTAGAAACACTAGCTATTAAAAGCTCTATTCCCTTTACAGCTAAAAATAAACTAATAGAAATTAATTTCTATCACTCACCTCACAAATTTTTGCGAAGCTATGGGTTGCCAATCGGAGCTCCTTCCAAGAGCGGCTATCCATTTTTCACGACAGTCTGCATTCGTTGGAAAATTAAACACTGTGTAGCCCTTGTTGCTGTTGTTAATACAGCAATTTGCAGTACAACTGGTTGGCATTGAGCGTAAATTCTGTGCACAAAATAAGCGACAATTAATGCAAAGCATTTAATGAAAAAATGAAAATAATTCATTAAATAAACCAGTATGAATAATAAAAAGATGTTAAAAGAAAAATGTACTAACCTCTACAAAAGAACAATGAAAATATTATTCTTCCACACTTTTATTCCTAGTTCAAGAAAGCTCGAAAACTTTAAATTTTTTTAAATAGATATACGTTGTATATACACTGTATATATTCGTTGTTATGTGAAATTCAATATTTTCTTTCTGGGCTGATGGTTCGTGCCTCTTTGCAGCGACAATTATCAATGTGAAATTCAACATGGCAGCAGCTACATGGACACAATTAACTCATACCAATCAGCAAAATATCGATCACGTGATCATTGGCGCATTTCTGTTATACTATAGCGTCTCTAGTGAGAACATTACGTTTTACAATTAAAAAAAATAATAATAAAATAATTAAACATTATTAATAGTTAATAATATTATTAATAATAAAATATATTAAAACAATAATAACAATAATA